TTTAAATGTACAAAATATTTTTTATAAAAAAGTAAATAGGGATAGTAATCCTAAGAAATACACGATAAAATATTTTTTAATGGTTTATTATAATATCAAGTCAGTATTTACCTTTTAATTTAAATATTGTCTGAATAATTTTATAATTAATAATTTTGTAAAATTCATATTCGTTAAAAAATATATGCATTATTTATTTTATTTATTTAATGTAATTATAAATTCCTCATTAATTACATATTTGTATATAAAATATTTAGGCTATTAATATCCAAATATCATTAATTTCCAAATATATTGTTCATGAAAAACTACATATAACTATTATATTAATATTTAATACAATCGAAAAAGTATTATTTAAATGTTTAAATGCATTTTCTCGGCGTCATGTGCATGTAAAAAGGAGAAAATGAAATTAAAATAAGAGAGAACGAAATCGAATTTCTACGAAGTTGAACAGTAACAATTTGTTCAAACTTTTTGAGTTAATATCGATATAAAACAATTTGATATGCTTTTCTACAAATTCATATACATCGTAACATTATTGCATTTAAAAATATAGATCAAAAGACAAATTGTTTCCTGTTGAGAAAATAAAAGTACCGAAGTAAACGAAATTATGCGATTTGCAATCAATTTTCAATGCGCTTGAATTAATACAATAAAAGGTTAATGTACTCTTTGTGTACTCTTTGTGGTCGTTGCAAATTTATAAGAAAGTACTAGGAACTTGCCCACGTGAAATTACATTAACGGATTGGATTATGGTTAAATATTTGCTCGATAAACGAAGAAGACATTTAAACGCAAATCAAGTAGTCGATATCAAAATTGAGTCAGTCGTGACGCATCTTTCTTAGGATGAACTACTTTCTCATACGAATTGAACGTAACGTGAATACGAATTATAATAATTGTTTTATTTTAATGAAATAAAAATTGATAATAAATAATTGATATTGCAATAATAAAAAGGATTTTTTTATAAATGTATAAACATTTAATTTATAATTTATATTAGTAATGAAAATTTAAAAGTATATTGGTAAAATTAATAATGAAATTTTTTTTTTAATTTTTAGAAACAATATTTGCATTAAAATGTTACTTATTAATGCTAAAGATTTTGTATTATTTCTATAATTGGAAATGATTTTATTTTCAAGTTATATATACTTATTAAGTAAAAAATACATTTAAATACATTTATCATAAAAAGATTTCATTGAAAACTGCAACGATAAGGTAACTCTTGGAAGTGGAAAGAAATATGGTTTTCTCATATAAAATATCAAGATTTACTTTTTATTGTTCCAAGAAAGATATTGCTTCAATTACTCTTAAACAAGGCGTGAATATTATTATGATATTAAAGAATAAACTACTTCGCTCAATGAACTACTTATGTTGCGAATAAAAAGAAATTCAATTTAATAAAACAATTATCTGATATTTTAACTTTTAACATCATGTTTTAAATATGAATCACATTATAATTTCATTTAATTGGTAAATATTTTAATTTTTCTCAATATTCCAAGATTAAATAAATTGTATATATGAAATGAATATCAAGAAATAAAATGTCCTGTAACTTCAATTTTTTCTAGCTAATAATAATAATACATTCACTATAATTTATATTTTAAATTAATTTAAAATATAAGAAAAAAATAATGTATCAGATAATTTTAAAATCAAGATAAAATATTTATATCAATGGACGAACAGCAAAAGAAATGCGTAAATCAAGTAATATGGAACATGGTTAATCTAAAAACTTCTTTACAAAAATTTTTCATAAAAAAATTGTTCCTTTTCCGAAGAATCGAAAAAATCATAAAAGAATCGAAATTGATCTAAAAAAAATTCCACAACTTTAATTATACTCCACAACTATAATTATACAAATCAAATAAAAAATATAATAACGATATAATAAATATCTTTAGATCAGTTTTAAAAAATCAATGTGTCAAACTTGTAAAAAATATATTTCACTATATCTTTTACTATTTGATATTTTTTTAAATTTCGAGATATAATATTGAATAATATTATTAATGTAGATGGCAGTGCTATTTTTATACATATATGTGCTACTAGGAACTTAATATTGAATGATATTTTATTGATATATTGATCTTTAAAATGTGCGAAGAGACACAGACACAGATATTCTTGTCGATCACAAAAAATTAAAACAACGTATTTCAACACCATCTTATGAAGAGGCAATATCTCCCTTAATCCCCTCAGGGAATATAAAGCTTCAAGTAATTGTTCACGATATCTTTCCGCTACGATTCATTGTTAGACATGCCAGCTTGTAAGCTTTTGTGGCGCTCAAATGATATGGATCGTAATATCGTAGATAGTAACATCAAGAGAGTTATATTGTAAATGTTCATTAACCTTCCACTGTGACCACGCTATTGTGTTTGAGATTTTTACTATCTAAAAAAAAAAAAAAATGAAAAAAAATATATACAGATACAGAAAAAGAAAGAAAATTTTGATTTGTATTTTTCCGAGAAAGTCTGTTTTATATGCAATCCTATTGTTTTTAATTTTTCTTTATATTTTTTTTCACTTTTTTTTGTTTATTTTACTCATTCATTCTTTCATTCGTAACTAGTGCAGATTATAGTCAAAGCATAATTCCATGCAAAAAACAAAAAAAATTCCTATTGATATCGTTGGTATAATATATGAAAAAGAATGACGACAAATACTTTTCTATTCGTCATGTGGATCGAAATATGTACCATATATATTTACACCGGATGTACTGTGATGAAAACTCGAGCGCGCTTCGACTTTTCAAATTCATGACGTCATTATCACTAAGGCATTAATGAACCGTGTCATTTTCATTTCGTGTGAGATTTACGTTTTAAAATATATATCATGATTCGGCCTTTTTTATTATCTTTATTATTTTATAATCAATCTATTTTATGTCAAATCTGATTTAATAATTTATTATATTTATCGTTATCGATTTACGTTTTGTTACTTTACAAATAATTAACTTTGGTATTCAATCGCGTTAACAATAGATTGTTAGAATAGGAAAAATATTAAAATTAATAAAATTATAAAACACTAATAATATAATCGCTATAGTGATATATAATTAGAAATAAAACATATGTGTTACTATATGATTTCATTAATATGGTACGATATATTGTAATACGTATTTAGATGATATACGATTTTTTAGTAAATTATTAAATCGTATGATAGAATTAAAGAGGTTCTGAGAGTGAATAATTTGATTGTTCATTATAATTCATTATTTTATAAACAAACTTTTTTATATTTTTATAATTGTAATAATAAATTTTAACTTTAATTATCATATTAATATATCAAGAAAAATATTAATTATTTACTTATTTAATAAAATATAAAAGCAAAGGATATTTTGATTTTATCCAGATTTATATCCAAAAATTGATAAAAAAAAATCGCGTTTCATATTAGTGAAAAAGAATGAAAAAAAGAAAACAATCTTCAATAAATATCATTCTTTCATACTTCATATTTTCGATGCATAGACTTAGTCTTTAAATGACGCAGTGACGTGATTCTGTCGCAAAAATTTTCTGAACGATAAAATAATTGACATTTCTATATATCATAGCTAAATGGCATTATATAATATCGTATAAATCAATTATTTATTTATAGTAAATCAAACAAAGAATAAATTTAACATCTCAAACGATATTATAGAACACGAATAGGAACAAAATAATTAAAGAACATATTTCAAAAACAACGAATATAAAATTAAACATAGTTTCTAATTCATTTAAACCATGATATGCGTAAATTATTCTGGATGTTATTTTCTAAGAAAAAAGATAGCTAATTGTCTTGTGACAGTAACTTTCGCGTTATGGAAAACTATGCAACATAAATTCTCTAGTTTCCTAATTTTAAATTTCATTCGAGCATATTCTACGCGTATTATCTTCGTTACGAATTGTAGCGAATAAAGTTAAATTCGATCGGAATAAAAAAAAATCATCCTAATGAATTTCATTGAACGCGTTCTCGTGCCTCGGTTGTCACGTGTTTTCACCGCGATTACCGTGATTTGGCCGAGATACCGGTCGGGAAACAACCAATAAACCCGTGGGCTCGTTCGTCGACGAATAAAATGACCACTAGAAACGTGTTCTGTCGTGTTCTCCAGCCTGTACCACGTATTATCGATCCACGTAAAATATGTGATTCGATAGAACCGGTGTATTTGACATGGTATTTTTTTCCTCGGTTTTTTTTTTTACTTTGTTTTTTTTACCTCATCACGGATATGTTGAACGATTCCAGAATCATTGAACAGAGAAAAGCAGCCGATCTGAACGATATGCGATAAACCAATCGGTAGCAATTACAAGCACTGTATCGCAATACACTATCTCACCCTCGATCTCTCCGTCGCACGCGAGCACACGTATACACTGTTACACTCATACACTCATATATTCACATGTATACATGATCATATTATCACATATGTTCATACGTATATTCAGGCACAAGGCTCTCAAGCATGTACGAACTACTTGGGCCAATTCATACACACGTGAAACACACAGGACATAACACAGACACAGGTTGATAACTGACCGATATTCGCAATTGGCGTTTTGGCTTACCGCTTACCGCCAAAGTGCCTAGATCAACACACACAGACTCACTTACGTAAGACACTAACGCGAGGCATGAGCCGGTCAACCAATCGCAAGCCCCTCGTTTCAGTGTTTGAGCAATAGTTTATATTCGCTTGCAATTGGCTTACGGGCTTCCTATGCTTACTATACAGTCTTATGTAATTGATTCTATTGGCTCCGAGTAATACAAAAAAACAGACAGAGATCGAACGACGACGGATACATTCTGGCAATTGTGATTTTTTTCTCACTATTTTTTTTTCTTATTTGTTTAAATCTTTGATTAAATTGTCCAACAAACTATATATTCGATATGTGATAGACGATATGTAATGTTGAAGCATTAACAATTTCGATATATCGATGTATACACGATATTACCATCGACATATTAATGTTTTTAAGAACTCGATAAATCGATATCGAAAGAGACAATGTCGTTACGCGAATATATTTTAAACGGTTTCTAACACGCGACAAAATAAATTAATTTATCGTCAAGAGAATTGCAACGACCGATCCAGAGGTGTACCCGACGTCATATTTCACGCTCTATCGTTTCCGTGAATTTTCGTCCTCGAACACGAACATCAATAACTATCCGATGTGACAATATCGACTCTCTCGTATGTCGCGTTTCCGTTCGTTATTCCGGATCAAATCGATCGATTCGATACTCAATCTTATTTCAAACGACAAAACGTAATATGTTCTTAATTCGTACGTACCGTTAATATTAAATTAAAATCTGATCTGATCGTTGAATCGTTAAGTGCGCGACAAAAACTCGAATTAATTTTCTGGACACTGTGATGATACATGATACGTAACAGCACATCAGCCGTATTCTCGATTTCGTATTGTCATCGTGCTCGCACCATATCCAAATCACCTAACCTCTAATTACATCTTCGAAATTGACTAGAAAATCCACGTGCGTAGTATATACACGGTAGCCAAACACACGGAAATAGAAATTCTCTCACATCAGTCTCTATCTACACATTCTTCGGAACATGCACTGCAGTCTTCTCGTATTCATTATTTTAAGAAACGGTAAGTTTATACCATATTCTTAAACAATTCTTATTTTTCTTTATTTCATTTTTCATAATTTCTTTTTTTTTTTTTTGCTCTCTCATCGCGTATCTTAAATTGTTCTTATAGAAATTATATTACCCGTCAACATTGTGCTGCAAGACCATCAAAACGATATTTTTTGCCAGATCGAATTGATCGTTCCGTGTATTATTATCCTTCGTACTAAACGTCGAACACACAAAACGCGAAACGTTTGGAAACGAAGTCCTCGGATCGTCGAGAACGGCGTTATTTCTCGAGAATTGGCAGATGGCGATTTTATCGATCGAATCCTCGACAGATTCTTCGTTTTATGTGTTCCGTGCATTAGTCACGACGACACCTTCAACTATTTCATCGACCACTATATGTAAATCTCACGACAAGTGGACGTTCGTTTCCATTGGGTCGACGGAACGACTTCCCATTTTCGTACCTCCCACCCTTTCTATACACATATGTATATCCACGGAACATCTCAACCGTTTCATCGATCATTCTCTCGTTCTATATACGTATGTACGAGTGGTATGTGTATATATTATATGTATACGCAATTCACGTGACAGGTCGACGTCCGTGTCCATCGCGACGGAGTTTCAATAATTAAATAAATCATGAATTTTTTTTGTTTCATTTCACTACCGCTCGTCCGGCACTGGACAGGACGTCTCTCTCAGCAGTCAGTGTCGTCCTGGTGGCGTCTACGAAGCTCCAGGTAACGGTGCCGGGCGTCACAGTAATGAAGCAGCGGTACCTAGACATCAGTTCCAGTCCCTTCTTGATAACCCTCGTCGGGGGAGCTACGCGTTGATCCGAGGACACGTTTTAACGCTGACACAGGCGGTAAAACCGGAACCCCTTTCTGCCATACTCTTATTTGCTTCGCGCCAGGCGGGAATTGCTCGACCATAGGCGCAACTACAGCCAAGGTTTCCTTCGAAGGGTACGTGCTCATCGGAACCGTTGTTCTGCACGTATCCCTCGCTTCCCACATACAACTCGAGTAAAGGATCTTTGCATCGTCCACCACTTCCATACGACTATAGTCCGCCCCACCGTACGGAGTGATATCTTCTGCCGAGCCACGTCGCGTGTCCCTGATAAGATCGGGATTGTCGATCGGCATTAGCGACGTGGTAGATGAGAAACAAGCACCCGGCGCAACCATCACAGATGGCTGTTGGCTCTGATCATCGAAACGGCCAATTGAACCATACTCATTCTCCGTTTGTAACATCGCTGCCTGAGGTCTTTGAACGTAGCTCAGGGTTAAGGACACCGGCGGTGGCTTCGATTCCACCCCGAACGACGTCGTCTCGATCTCCTCGTGTTTTCTATGAGTGGTGGATGTCGCTGACGAAGGATTCTCGTTATTTCCAGCTGTACTATCGCCCGATACACCTTCTGCGGGTACAGCTGATTTCACGTCCTTCAGTGGCATTCTTCGAAAACGAACGAACAACACGAGAATGACGAGGAGAATGAAGAGAATTAGCACTACCAAGGCGGCGGATATACCGGCTATATGACCGGAACCAAGGGTAGACATACCGGCAGTTCTCAAAGATACGTGAAGAGTGAAATTCGCCTCGACGGTACCGGCACGATTCTCCGCTACACAATAGAACTCGCTAGAATCCGCTTCCTGGGCGTTTGTCAAAACCAGAGTACTTATTTTCCGGAACTGGCCATCTTCAAAGATCAAGATCTTCTGGTAACTACTAAATGCTGAATGGTTGGTCAATAATCGTCCATTCCAATACCATTTCACTTTTGCAGGCGGTATCGCGCTAACTCTACACACAATACTGGCATTTTCACCTATCGTCGCCTCGGCGTAGCGGCTGGCTATCAAGAGGATTGGTCGACAAGCGAAATCATCGATACCCAAATCGGTAAAAGTTCTATTCATTAACTGTTTCGGCCCACGACAAAGGGGCGCTTGAAGGGTAGGTAAATTGTGCTTCACCAGCCACATTTTCATTTCGCGTAAATGACAATCACAAATCCACGGATTGTCATGTAGTTCTATACTGGTGAGTTTATTCAATGGCTCGAAGGTACCCGGATGAAGGATCGATAATTGATTGTTGTTTAACTTTAAACTTTCCAGCAACTCCAAGCCACGAAATCCTTTCGCCTCGATTTCAACCAGTTGCGTGTGGGACAAATCTAACTTGACCAAATTCGGTGTACTCTTCAACGCGTGCGAGTGAACCCTCTTGAGGGGATTATAGGAGAGTACAAGGTCCCTGAGGAACGGAGTATCCAAGAAACTGGCAGTAGGGACTACGGTTAAGAGATTATGGCTTAAATCGAGTTCAACCAGATTCGTAAGGCCCGCCAGTGCCTCGCTATCGATTCGGTCGATACGGCACTCGCGTAGGTAGAGACGCTGTAGATTCGTCAAGCGTACACGTACGAAGATGTTGCTCGGTAGAGTCCGAATGTCGTTGCCGCTTGTGTCCAACACTTGCGTCTCCGGATCGACCCACTCCGGTATGCTAGTCAGGGCACGATTTACACACTCGACTGTGCGCTTCCCGCTCTTCCACTTGCAAGAACACTCGACGGCGCACTTGTCGCTGGTCACAATGCCCAGCAACGTTGTCACGTAAAGAAAGAATATCAAGATTTTCATGACGAACGCGTTTATTATTGTCGAATGCTGGTCCTGGTTACGACACACGCTATCCTCCCCGATTATCTTCTTCGAGGACGCCTAGCCTCAATAAGCGAGATACATTTTCGCTCGTCCGAGAATATTCTTCGTGGACGAGCTTATGTCCATTTTTTTTTTTTTTTTTTTCTTCGTTTTTCGAGCGTATGTATTTCGTGGTGACGAGACACGTTTATCCCCCCCCCAATTATCCCTTTTTCGTTTTTTCTCAGCGATACGTTCGATTCCTTCCGTCGACCTATCGTCGAATAACAATGATCATCAATTCAGCCCTTACGCCGAAGTTTATAGGAACCCTTCTCTCCGTGTGGCTGTTGCAGTACAGCACGTCTAATTATGCAAATGAGAGGGTCGGGATTAAACGGTCTCGGCTCGTCCATTCGTGAATCCTCTTGATTCGTCGAGACGACGATCGTTTTGGCGATGACAATCTCTTTCTTTCAAATTCACGATGGTCGATATTAATTGCCGAATTATTTTCAGTAAACTCAGGAATTGACGAAAACTATCTTCTTTCCTGGTTGCTCTTCCCGTATTTGTCGGTACTTGTCACACACGCGCGCGCGCACATTGAGATACATATGAGCACGTACGAGTAAGCATACACCACGAGCGTCCGTCGTTCTTACGTAAACGCGTCGATCAACGTGCACTTCCCGTGAAGTTGACGAGAACTACCTCTACGATTCACCACCGTGATCAAAACCAATAATGGTAATAACACTCTCGACGATACGGTACTTCGCACCACCACCTTCCATGTATTGCATATCACGCGAACCACCGGAATATCCTCGCGAAACAGACAGGAGAGCTCTCTCTCTCTCTCTCGTACTCGCACTACTTTGTATCCGAGGCGTTGTCCGTGCCAGGCGATCTTCCCTAGTTCGTATCCCTCGATATCTGTTTTTCGTAGTCGCTTCTCTCTTTTTTTTTCCTTCTTTCTTCCTTCCTTTTTTTCCCTTTTTCCCTACTTTTTTTCACCCCCGATATTCATCGAAACGCGCAAAACACTCGAACCGATACCACGGACGCTCGTCGTGAAATGAGAGACTATGAAAAGCCCGGCACCGAACCGAAGAGATAGCCTCTGCTCGCTTTCTCTCTGTCCTTCTTTCGGCACGTCGTTGCACACTGCCAGGAGGGAAAACGCCGACGCGAAGTAGGGCGCACCCTTCTTCCACTCTGGCTAGACTATATACACAAGGTGTACACACTACCACCGTGATTCCGAGCACCCCTTACGGCGCCTTTCCTCTCCTCCAGTCTCATCCACCAGCATCCTTCACCCCCTCCATCCAATCCCTCCACCTCTTCTATCCAGTCACCCCTGGAACCCCCCCGCCACTCCCTTACAGACACAACTCTTGTGCGCGCTCTCCCAACCGGCTAGAACCGACTATAGTGCGTAGTAGGGATCGTTTCTATTCCCCCACCATCGAAACGACCCCCACCTTGACGCCTTCCACCTCCTCTAAATAGGGTATACAGGGTGTACGGGCGCGCGCACCTACTAGCCACTAGCTACTCCTGACTGCCGCGCCACGCCGCGCCGTGGCTCCTCTTTCGCCAATCTATTCCACGTTTTCCTACCGAGTCTCCTGACCTCACCTCCCACCCAACTCGTACGTCTCTCTTTCTTCTTTCTTCTTCTCTTTTTCCCCCTCGTGCTACCTTCAACCCACCGACCATCCTTTTCGACGTATCGAATGCTACGTCACAGTGGCGAGATATACGGCTATTTCACAAAGTGGTTAAATGCACTGCCAGATTACGGCTAGCTTGCCAGGAGGGAGAAGAGCAGAGAATAATACAGAGGGAGCAGCAGAGAAAGAGAAAAGACCGGCAACAGTGGTTACGGTATCGTCTATCGGCTACCATCAACCGCCACAGACGTTGTCTCTCTTCTCGGTGTCGTTTTCCAGCTACACATAGCCTTAGAAAAATCATTCTTCTTTTATCTCTTCCCATCCTTTTTTTTTCTTTCTTTTTTTACTTCCGTCCACGCGATTCTTCGCGTTTACATTCTCGAAAAATTTGCGTACACTGTTCTCGCCTCGGTGCTATCGTCGTATCTTCACCACGGGATCTATAGGATCTCCTTCCTTTTCTGTCATCTCTCGTGGAAATTACACGGAAAATGAAGGTATTCCTTCCGTGGAGGAAAGTTAGGTCCGCTCGAAGAAGTCGGAGAGATTGAGGACAGGGGGAGGATGCTAAATCTGCCTACAACGAGAAGTAAAAGTGACATTACGATGGAGAATGACGAAGGACGCTGCCACCCATTATATACCATACATATATACATACGTATATACGCCGACGAATTTTCCCTAAAGGACCTTTTAAGGTTAATTGATCGTCCGAGGCGACAAGTGCACGTGTCTTTCCGCTCATACGTTCTCGCGTAATGCACTCTTAATGGACGCGAAACTTCAAAGAATCCTTCTATAAAGATGTTCGATGCTCATCCGATATATCCAGAATTTAACTATGTGTCTTTCGATCTTGTACTATGAGTCTATATATCACCTTCCAGACTTCTTCTCGTGTGAGATCCGCCTAGGTGTCTTATCGATTTACAATGTTAACAAATCGGTCAGGATATAGATAGCGAATAAAAAAGTAGAGAGTAAAGAAGAAAGTAGAAAGATTAACGATAAGATGAAACTTGATGGTGTCAAAAACGAACGGTTTCGACGAACGTGGGTTACGCTTGTCTATGTCGTTTACTCGATGGTAGACCGTTGCACAGGCCACTGACGCTATTTAAGCGATTACTTGAAATCAATAGCGCTCGTTCAGAGTGCGCCAACAAGCCGGTAGTATAATTCTTATCCCAAACTGTGCTTTCGTCTCTCATCTTTCTCTCAATTCCCCACAGAGACTACTCTGAAACGGATCGAAGCTAGGGAACAAAAGAAAGAACATCGAGACGAAGGACGTTCAAATGGTTGGATTTCTGCCGAGGGAGTTCGTCGAATCACTGCTGGCTCTATCAGGATTTGGCTGGCTCACCGCATTTTTCAAGCGACCCCTTTCCCCGTATACCACGACACACGTGTACTATGCGCGTTAACGCGATTGTTTCGTAGATTTACGACGCGTGGCTGGATCGTGTAAATACGATCGAAGAGTGAAAGTTTATCGTAGATAATTATTAATCTTGTTATAATATTAATTGTTAATTTGAGTAAAATATATGAGATATGAAAAATTTATATATTTTACGAAATTCATAAAATATTAGAATCAAGAAAATATGCTGATTGAAAATTCTGTACAAGAAATCGATCATTTTATCATTCGTCGGTAAATTAGTTAAGAATAATAATAAATTAGTTAAAAGATGATTTTTGAATTGATTTCGACTGTCATATTATTTCAGATGGTTAGTAAATAGTTCTGTGCAACACCTGTGTCGTGCTATTGTAATATTTCACATATGTTACTGGCGTACGTGACGAGAAGAATTCTTAGTCGAAGTGATATATATATAGCCTAAAGAGTAATTGGTAAATCATACGGTTGTGTACCTTCGTTTATTGTCGCGTCGATCTGTAACTGAAATTCGCGATTATACTATACTATATGGATAGATGAATGTAATTACAAAGTTGGGATTGTATTTGTACGATTGTGCCAATATTTGTAGTTTCTAACCAGGAATTATATTTCCGCCGTCTATTTCATTCGACCATGACCGATCGAGGGACACGTAAAATGACAAGCATTATTAAAATAAAAGGCTCAGTAAAAAAATACTAAAAATGCAAAAAACGAGATATGAAAATATGTGAATAACTTTTCCTATTAAAATTTTATTCACAATTTTTTTAAATTATAAATTTTATCGTTTACTGCTTTTTTTTCAAGTTTCAAATATGTTTTAATTAAACATTCAAAATTTACTGAGGGATGAAATATCATTTATCTGAATCTTTTTCATAAAAAAATTAATTTCAAAAATAATTGTAAAATGGCTACGATCAATCGTGATCTAACAGCTTTTCACTTGAATTCGTCGAATAAATTATCACTTGAGCTCGACATGTGATCATTTTTTAATTATTCGTTTTGTATTCGTATAAAATAATTGTTTATATTTATGATAATATTCGAACGATATGCCAAAATCAAAAAAGAATTTTTCTTAATTTTATGATTAATTTAAAAAATTATTTATGATACATTTTTAAATTTTTTAAAAGAAGAAAATATATAAACTGAAATAAATAAAAATGATCAATTCGATAGTGAAATTTAATTTTTAAAATAAAAAATCAGATATTTATAATAATGAAAAAATTTGTAAATTATTTAGAAAGATGTATATATATATATATATATATATAGTAAATCGTCAATGATGGATTTTTTTAAAATATAGGATAAATTGAAAAGAAACATACATAGTATATTGAACCGGAAATTTTATTAAGGACCAAATTTTCTTTGCTATTTTGTTCCTTTTGAAAACAAATTGACATGCGTTTTAATTTTATTATTTCTTTTTTTCTTTTTCATCAAATCGAATCTGTGCTTTGGAGAAATAAAAAACAAATAAAAAAGGTTCTTTTCATAATTCAGACACAAAATCTATCTTTACAATTGAGAAATAAACAATTTACGTTCCTGGAATAATTTCTCCTTTTTGCTTTTTCTTTGATTTTGCTTTCGCATAATTTGCATAATATCATCGAACGTACATAACAACATAACAGAGAGAGGGAGGGGGATTTTCAAGTTACAGAAATGCTTAAAAATTTCAGATACAAAAAACATTCGACCAACACATACGATCATGCAGAGATCATACGATTTTTTCTTATAATTTTTCTTTTTTTTTTTTTGTGATTTTTTTTCTTTTAGTCTTTTAATTTATGCAACTGGAACAATATCATACATTTGTTTTATAATGTATGCCATTTATTGCTTTTGTAAAATCATAAGATCTTAGAAAGTGTACGTAGTATTCCTATATAATACATTATAAAACAAATGTATAATATTGTTCCAGTTGCATTTACAAACAGAATTCTTATTTCGAATTTTTTTTTCTTTTCTTTTTCATTTTTTTTCTTTTTTTTTTTTTTTCAAAGGATAAACCAATTTAAACGCGTCACAAAAGATTTTTCGAACTGTTCACAAATACGA